GAGTTTCTTCACAGCCTGTTTGATCTGGTGCTTCTTGGTCTTGACATCCGCAACGAACACAAGTGTGTTGTTGTCTTCTGTCTCCTTCATGGCAGACTCAGTGGTCGGGGGGAACTTGATGCTGGCACAGTGGTCATGCTTGTTTCTCCTGGGGGTGTTCTTCTGAGGATATTTGAGTTGCCTCCGGAGCCACAGTGTCTTGGGCTGCCGGAAGCTGGGTTATGTGTGGATCTTTTTTTTTTTTTGTGGCTTTGGATGCCCTCCAGCACTGCCTTCTTGGCCTTCAAAACCTTTGCTTTGGCTTTGGCTTTGGCAGGGGCAGGAGCTTCCTTCTTTGCCTTCAGCACCATCTTGTGAAAGGGGTGATCTCTCAGTTTTTAAAGCACTGACAAGAAAGACTGGCGACTGGCAACACTCTACAATCTGAAAACAATGATGGCAAATATTTGTCTGAACTGGTTAATTATTAATGTTACTTACAGAACTGACAATTGGCTTTCTGCCTTCCACTGTTCTGAGCATTCATACAATGTATACAAAAAGAGGTTTAGAAAGTAGTGTTCAGAAACCAACCCAGTTTTCCATGAGCAAGAGCTGCTTTTCAGCAGTGGTGGCTGGAGCAGATGGGAGCCGCGCCTGCGGTGAGTCTTCGAGAGGCCACCAAGTCGACAGTATTCAAAAGTCTCAGGGGAACGCAGGAAGCTGGACTCCCTGTACCACAGGGAAGCCCAAGCAAACGAAGAGGGAATCCTCCCAGCAACAGTCCAACAACTGGAAACTGAGGATCCCTGCACATGGCCCCCCAGCCAATGTCGACTGTTGAAAAGATTTTTTGAAGAAACACTTTCCATACCTAATGACTGGCCACCAATATTCGAAGACTCACTGAGCGAAAAAACAAAAAACAGCAGAAAATAATGAAAGGAAAGTGAAGCAGGTTAATGAAGCCAGCTCCTTAAGCTCATGCAGTTTGTTGTATGGAAAGTATGGCAGGTTCTCCTTACGGGGCTGATGGTCTCCGTGCCCCTTGGGACTCACAAGATGTACAAAGGGCATGGTGTCTAGCCAGGATGATGCACTAGCAATGATTATAAAAAATTATAAATGGAGAAACTATTAATGTTCCCAGTGCCTAGCAAGCATTAATTCACTAGATTAAAATACAGACTGGGTGTAGGAAATTTAGGGTAACAACAAATTAATTTAAAGCATCTGACTTCCACAAATAGCTTAGATTAACATTCTGAACAGGTTAGCCCCAAGGAAAACATGAACACCTAAAAATTGAGGGCAATTTCATTAAAAATATATGCTTCACAGAGTCATTAAAGCTTACTGACTAAATTACCACTAACAGCAGGAACTTGCAATCTAGCTGGCCGGCACTGCCTCTGTAAACGAGCTAAGAGGGAAACAGGGAAAATGCCTCCAATGAAAAGGGAAAAATCATTACAATGGCTAATAAAGTCTCAAGTCATGAAAACAAAATGAAACAAAACAAACTCCCCCCCCCCAATAATTGAATAGTTATTATGTGCAAGAAGCAACCCCTCAATTTAAAATATGTATGGAAACCCAGAGGTTAAAAAAAAAAAGATTAGCTTTAGACTGGAAAGGAGAAGGTGTAGCTGATTTATTGCAAGGATCTAGAAAGGGATGATCTAGAAAGCGTGATCACACTAGGAATGGAGAAGGACGATTGTGGACAGATAATGATGACAAGTATAAGATCACAGGTGTACTCTCCAGAATGGGAACATCCTGGATTAATCCTCTCCCAAGGGCATGTCATGGTCATGATCGAGGTTTCTCTGTCAGGCACACAGTGACCTTCAACTGTGACCATGACAGAGCGGGGTCTGTGACGTCAGGGCCACAGGTGTTCTAATAACACGACCATGGCATGTGCTTCAATGTTTAATTTCTGTGTGACTTAGTCTATGTCCTCTAGCCCCTTATCTTTAAAATTCTCATCCCACTTCACAAGGATATTTAGAGGAACAGATAAATTAAGTGAATGTTTTTTTAATAAATAGTGCATATGGTGCATGTCCCTAGGCTGTTTTCTCATAGACGTTAAACAAGTCTCATTTGATGTAGCTCACGTAGGCTATTCCAACAGAAATGACTAGGTTCATTTTAAGTAAAGAGTAATTAGAAAAATCAGATAACCCATACTGAAAGGCATAAATCTTTTTTTTTTTTAAAGATGATGAGTAAAGGGATCTTAACGCTTGACTTGGTGTTGTCAGCACCACGCTCTCCCAAGTGAGCCACGGGCTGGCCCTAAAAGGCATAACTCTTTTGGAGTTGGCACTCTACTGTTTATCTCTGCCCCAAGTTCCCATCATTCTAACCCAGCTCCACTTTCTTCCTTATGTTCCCCCCTTTTAGGCCCCTATTCAAGTCGTTATTCAGTAAAGTTCTAATTGCTGTGGGAACAAATATACAGAAAGCACAATCACTGACATCAAAAAAACTGACCATCTATTGGAAAAATGAATGCCTGTGCAGCTGTGCTTCAGGGCCAGCTGTGATGAGTGCCACTGCAACGGGGAGGTACATGATGACTGTGGAGGCAGAAGACACAGTAACTTTGGAGAAGACAGACTTTGCAGATGAGATGACACATGAAGAAAGCACTGATGCAGAAGAGAAAAGGCAGGGAAAGATGTATCAAGCGAAGGAAATGTGATGAGCAAAGGCATGAAAGTGTGAAAGTGGAGGCCAGAGATGATGCTAGAGAGGTTGGTTGGAACCTTATTACATGTCACTTTAAATGCTTTATGTTAAGGTTTTGCACATACTATCTTAGGGCTGATCACGCCAATAAATCATGCCTAAAATTAGATGTACCAGGGCAAATTGGAAGTCAGAGAGATAAAGCAGACACTTAATAAGATGTAGATGAAATTAAAAACAGATGCTAGTTATTCCAGTGGCAATGACTGGGGTGCCTTTGGAGAAGGGATGCAGGGAATTCCCAAAGAGGAAGGCAATGGTCACCCACATTTGAAACGTGGGTATCATCCTCCTACCACTGTTCTCCCCACCTACATCTACTGTTCCAGTCAGTCTAGCTGAAATCTCCCATATCCCCCATTCACATATATTTTACAAAGCTTTATATTAGATGTCAATAAAGAAACATACTTTAGAGAACAAAGATTTACCTTGTTCGAAATGCATAATACAAAACACTAATGCTACAGATGTAACTTAATCACAGAATGGGCAGAAAATTCAAAAGGCTTACTCCTATAACATTTATTTGGCGCAGTTTAGATATACTACTTAAATCTGTGTGCCCTTGCCATACACGACCTCTCCCCACCTCCTGTCAGATTTAGAAGTTTCTTAGTAGTAAGGTCTACCTTTTTTGATGCCACCATGTTTACGTCACCCTGTGGGCCCTGGGAGGAGCAGTGAGTCCTGGCCCATGCTTGATCCCTCCTATCGACTGCCCACATGAATGATCAGCTTCACAGAGTTTCGGTGGGGCTGTGCTTCTACACGCCTAGTCATTATTGTAAACTGTGTAGACAATGTAGTAAGACAGCCCTGATGGTACAGAAGGAAACTGTCCTGGGAATCTGTGTCAGATCCAGGTGGTATGATTGGCGAATGAATAACAGTTTTTGCATCCACGTAAGGAAATAATACTGGAGTTTCAGATGACCTGATTAGGACAATTATAATTTGGTAAGCCCCATTCAGGATGTCCAGCAATCTGACAGGACCTCACTCTGGACAGGAAGAAAACCATCTCTACAAACCAGAGAATATCTCCCACAAGACTCATGGAATATTTCCTACCTGACGTTCCCTGCTATGCTCTGTTGAGAACCTGCAAGTATCTCTTGCACTCACCATCATAAATGGTAACTTGTATAAGATTTATGAGTTATTCTGTCAAGGTTCCACAGGAGCCCTCTGCAGGGCCATTTCCTGCAGATTCGGGAGTGAAGAACTGGTTCCTGAAGTTACTGGGTAGCAAATGCATGTCTACTTTACATCTACCTGTGTGCTGCGTTATTCAGTCTTCCATTCATCCATTCAACGAATGTTTACCGAGGTGTTATTAGGGCTCACACTTGTGCTAGGTGTTCGGTGTACTGTAGTGAGCAAAAAGACACAATCCCTGATCTTGCAGAGCCAAGATGTAGTATGAAGATGGTCATGAAACAAGGGATTACAATAAATGATGATGAACATCCTGACTGGGAAATGCACAGTACTCTGGAAAGACGTATCAGAGTCTCACGCATAATACACTAGTTGTAATGCTGTATTTATCCCTTCATAGAACTCTAAATTTAATGTGTTTTAAAACATATGAGGGTACTTCAAAAAGTGTGTGGAAATATTTGTATTATCTTTTAATTTTATTTTTAAATGAACTTTTTGAAATACCCCCATATAATTAATAAATTAAACCCAGGACAGAAGACAAGACTATCATCAAAAAGTAAGCAGATTTTGGAGAGTCAATCTACCCCTAAGTCACACAGAGGGCACGAGGGCATATTACACGAATAACGAATTCTTTTCTTCTTTCTTAAACTATCAAAATTATCTTAATTTACATACAAGTGCTTCTTGGGGTGATGGTTTCATTTTTCAAAATACCAGATGCTATTCATCACCAAACCAAACAAAATAAACTCCTAAAGCTCAAGAAAGTAACTAAAAATTTGAGTACAGCCCCAGAAGGCCTTCCGTTTGTCTTTCCTCGCACATGGAGAAGGACAGACTATCTTGAAATCCTCAATGCCAGGTACATTTCACACCCCAGCCCTGGCTCTGGCAGAGATTTTAGTTTTGTGTCTTAACACACATTTCCTTCTGGCCTCATGCATATTGGCTTGAAACTTCATAAAATTAAAAATCATTGCATAATTCCTTCTCTTTAGAAACATTCCAGTTCTTTTTTTACTCTGTCAAATTCGGCAACAACATGGACAGAAAATTCAGTGATGAGGGGAATACTGAGACACCAAATGCCGTTCTACTGGGTGCAGGGCGTGTGGGACTTCAGCATGGGCAGCCTCACGGAGTGTGAATTGCCGAAAGTGTACCTCGACCATGACGTAGAAAGTGATGCTTTCCCTCACGGTCCATGCACGAACAACGAAAACAGACAGTGAAATGGCAGAATGCGTATCTTTAGAGTGAGGGAGGGAAAACGTCAAAAAGTAAACATACAGAATTTCAGAGGACAGTTCCTTATTTAAATTTGAAAGGTGGATGCCAAAGATAAACATTTTCTCCTTATTTCAATCAAAGTTTCTCAAACTCAGCACTACTGACGTTTTTGGGTCAAATAACTCTTTGTGGGGGGATTGTCCTATGCATTGTAGGATATTTAATGCAGCATCCCTGGCTTCTACTCAATAGATGGCAGTGGCACCCCCTTATCCCCCCACCAGCTGTGACAACCAAAAATGTCTCCAGACATTACCAAATGTCTCCTGGGGGACAAAATTGTCCCAGTTGAAAACCACTGTTTTAGGTCTTTGACCCACATGCCTTGTGGATGCAGCTGAGAACCTCTGCAACATTAAACTGCTTCTAAAAGGCTCAGAGCTAGAGTCCAGGAGTTCCAGAGGGATTCTGGGGTGAGCCTTGGTCATTCACTTTGCTTCAGAGATCTTGGATTGCCGGTAAAAACAGGGAGTTGAACTACATACATCCTTAATCTTTATTTTGGCGCTAAGAAATGCACCAAATTATTTCATCTCATGAAACTTCTACCACTAATGGCAGGTAGTTAGACAAATCACTTTCTGTCTCAACTTGCCCAAATTCCAGCAAACAGCTATTCTGAGAGATTTTTAAGTTGACAGAAGACTTTGCTAGGGTTCTTGAGTACCAAGTTTGGAAAACATTTCAAATTACTCATTGGTTTATAGTCATATCCCAGGTACTTTTCTGGCCTTTATTTATTTGCCACTTATAATAAGTTATTGATATTCATCAGATATGCCCTCAGCACTTAATTCAAGGAAATACTATACCAGCGATATTTGTGGAAAAAATATGTAAGTATTAATTATAATGAACTTAGCTAATTCACTTCAACAAATAAACAAACCATTCTTACTCCTATTTTCTTCTCCCTCTAAACTCTCTCCTTGGCAAACTCTCATAATTGTTATCCCTAACTAGGTAATGAATCTATTTCTAGCACCAACATTTCTCCCAAGTTTCAATCCCTTATTTCACTTCTAAACATCACAAACAAATACAAGCAATTTCATGAAAATCATATCAACCTCACTAAATCTCTAATATGGTAAACAGCTAAAGACACTCTCTAAAATTCTTAATTGTGCAACCATTAAAACTGTACTTAAAGGAATATATATATATATATATATATATATATATATATAGCCATGTGGAAAATGCTTATGATTTAAAGTTCAGTGAAAAGCAAGAAATAAAAGCCCATATACAGAATGCATGTAATTGTAAACACATAAATAGATACGATTAAAAATGAGTACACAAAAATCAGTTCTGATGATGGGATTTACCATGAACTTTTTCTCTTTTGAAATGCCCGTAATATTAAACTACTTGTATATAGTTCCTTAAATTAGTCTTTTAAAATATTCTAATTCTTTGAGATCTAAAAATATGAACTCAATATCTCTCTCCTATGTTAGTCCCTTAAGGCCCATCATTCAACTAGTAACTCTGGCTGCAAGACCTGCAGTCAATCTTGGATTTTCCCTTTCCTGTCTACTCACTGCCTGCACCACTGCCAGTCACCAGCTGCTCCCGGTTCTCTCTGCAAATCAGCTCAGTACACTCGGCCACACTCTCCCACATTCAGCTGCAGGAGTCCCTTCCTACGGCCACCAATTTGGCTTAAGTCCTAGGACCTCGTGCTTAGGCTCTTACAATAAGCAATTTCACAGTGTCTCCGACTTGGTTCTGCTGATTCCCAGAGCTTCCTGCAAAGCCTCCTCCCTCCCGCTACCCTCAGTGTCTAACACCGGGCTCTGGACGTGTCACTTTCCTGCCGACTCTGGCCAGGCCCTCTGGAATCTTCTTCAACCTCTCTTCCAAGCTCATCGTCTACTTTCCCTTACTAATCTCGGTTCACATCCCATGATTTTCCATCTCCAGGCTTTTCTTCTCTACCAAGTATGCCCTCCCTTCCAACATAATTATCTGAATCCTACCCACCTGTCAAAATCCAACTCAAATAGTACTCCCTCTCTGAAATGGTGATCTGCCCAGATGAACGTGGTCTCCTTGTGAATGTTCCCATTGAATTTTTCTTTCAATAAAAAATACTCAGCTACCTTGGATTATGGGAATTGTGTGCCTTATCTCTTTCTTACTAGATTATAAACCCTTGTCTTCGAAAATTTTGCTTTTAATCTTATATAGTTTTATATACTGATAGCAACAAAAATATATTCACTGAACAAATCAATGAAAATAAAGTCTAAAAAACAACCAATTAAAAAGTTCAATGAATTATTTTTTTCTGTTTAACATGTAGCAAGCTTATTTTGACTGAATCTCACAGCTGGATTTTTAAGAAATCAAATGTCACTGACATGCTCCAAATAACTCCTTCCTTTTCTCTTTCCTTCTCTGACTCTCCACAAAACAGGAGCCTCATCTCAGATAGTCACTGTCCATATAAACATGGGGCTTTTGATAGTTTTACAGTCCATGCTTACAGACATAATCAAGCCACTCAAGATAAAATAGAGTTTTTAAAGGGCTAGAGCCAGTTAGATTCTATTATGTGAAATGTTTCACAATTATAAAGCTCTTGTAGAATATCCAAATCATGTGAATTCTGCCTGGTAAGACAAAACAGAAACATCAGCTCAGCTAATGTGTGGGGTGTTTTTTGTGGGCTGTGGAATTGTGGCTAATGGTTAAAACCCTAAGTATATCTAGATAGATAACTTATACAGAATAATTTACAAAATTCTTCTTTTAAGCTAGAGAGCTATAATTCGAAAGTAGTAAATATGAGGTCCCTCTTTAGGAATCAGAAATACATATGAGGACACACACACTCTTCCATTACAACGGAAGAAAATTACCCTGTTTTAGGCTGCATAGAGGAGGACTATAGATGAAAAAAGAGATTAGAAGAAGAAATGCATAAAGCAATCATATTTCTAATGTTCTGGTTCATAATTTGAGTTCAAAGGTACTCATTTTATCATTATACTATACATACAAGTTTCCTTTTCGAATAACTCTTGTATTCTTTTTTAATAACTGGAACAGAAACGAAAGCTAACACTGAACCTTAGTGTAGTTCTAAGTACTTCTTTTATTTTAAATCATTTAAGACTCACTACAACCCCAGGAGGTATGCATCAACATTATTCACATTTTGCAGAAAATTGAGGCACAGATAAAGTAACTTTCCAAGGTCACCAGGCATTTTACCTCCAGAAGCTAGCACTTACCACTCTGCTACCAAATATTTTGAAAAGAAGAAAAAGTAACAAGTCTAAAGACAACAGAGTCCATTGATTATTTCACTGGACAGTCACATCATGCCATTTTTCCACTCTTGAGGACACACCAGGCCGCTTAAAGGTTCCTCAATGAATACCCATCCACTGTACGAGATTTCTATTCTCTCTTTATGTTTCATTATTTTCCAGAAGCCACATTACTCACATTGACCTCGCAGTTAACTCAAACCCTTAGGTCAGTAAAGCTTTCTTCTCCACCTACTCAAAACTACACATCCAAAGACCAGATCAACTCCTGGCCCTGCTATTACAAAGCCTTTCTAGAAAAATATAAGTGGTTGATAAAGCAATTCTGCTACCAATGACTCTGTAAGTCTAGACAAACAACGGAAGCATGCTAACTTCAATTTACTTATAAAAAGAATTTGATGAGTAGGTTATTTCAGTTCTAAAATACAAATCCATAATGATCTTCTCATTTCTGAACTCACTCAGATTATGATCTATTATCAACATTTAGTTTCTCTTGTTTGTTGTTTATCCTGGTGGGCCACTGAAAACTGCCACGTGTTTCCTTTTCCTCTCCATTAGTCAATAAGTAAATTAATAAGCAATTAGAAAGTCGTGTGCCAGATGCTCTGCTAGGCACCAAAGGGATAAAAACAATACTTACAGTATATTATCAGTTTTCACTTACTAACTAGTGAAATTTTCCACTTATGCCTGCGTCAAGAGTTTAGGAATTACTAGTTAGAGAGATAACATGCAGTTTCCCCACACAGGCCATTGCAGAAAATCCACTGGGCCTTATCCAACCTCATATATCACTGAATGCATCATCTTTTCCCTCTGAGAAGAGTGCAGTAAAACATGAGCAGGAGACGGCAGAGGGGATGATGTGTCAGCTACCTTTGGCTGGAGGAAATGCCAGACTATGATTCTCATGTGAAAAGTGACGTGGTGGGCTGCCAGTTATCTCTCAACACTATTCCTTTCCTTTTCAAGAACAGAACTCTGAATACATGGCTACCCAAGATAAAGACTACACTTCCCAGGCTTAACTACAACTGGGTATTGCCATGTGACCAAGTTCTGGCCAATGGCATGTACGCAGACACATCCTCCCTCTCCTCTCCTGCTGGTTGGTTGGAATGTGGACGTGTTGATGGGAATGGGGAGCCATTGTAGACCGCGACGGGGGGAAACAATATCCAAAAGTGAGGGTCCCTGATTATGTGGTTCAACAAATACAGGCCTAAGTTTGTGTGAAAGAAAAATAAAATTCTGCCTTGTTTTAGCTGAAATGAATCCTAATACAGCAATCTTTCATCCCTCTCTCCAACCCTATCCTTCCTTGCCTATCTGATTCTTACTTACATGTTAGATCTTTTTCCCTTTAAAGGTCACTTCTTCAGAACAGCCTTCTCTGTCCTCCTTTTCATCTGCTCTCCATCAGGCTTTACTATAAATACTCTTCTAGTCCCTAGATTATTCTGTCATTGTATTTATCATAGTTTATGTGTATTTATGCATTTCATTGATTTCTGTCTCCATCACTAGACTCCAAACAGACAAAGATTGTGTTTTTGTTTGGTTTTGGTTTTGTTTCTTCCTCACAGGATCTTCTGTGCCCAGTACAGTGCCTGGTGCACAGGAAGCAATCAAATATTTGCTGAATAAATAACTGAAAAAAATCAGAGGATCTCCACTCCTCTATGAATTCTAGAACTTCCATAGTAAGTACTGAGGGCCTCTACAATTATACTTGCTTAACTAAGCTCAAGGGGGGAAGCTTTAAATCATGTGGTAGAGTGGTTCTCAAATGTATTTTAGTGGCATGGCACTTGGAAATGGTGGTGCTTTAAAAAAAGAAATTTCTACATAATATGAAAATCTCTTTATCTCAAAAATAATGCATAAACTATTTGAAGTAAAATCATGTCTCTAAGTTTTCAATGTTTGCTCCTTACTTTTTCATCACATGCCTAAAGCAGTTATACCAAAGGGTAAAGAAACATGGGAGAAAAACAGTAATATTTATATCAATGTGTGTGCAAAGTAGAAAAGATTATCATCACTCAATCTTAGCAGCAGGAAGAGGGTAGGCTATTTCAGAATCATTTACTTAGCAGAATCACATATTTTAGACACTTCCCTGCATTAACTGCACACATAATATGTACGTAAGCATGTTAAATCAACCTCCAACAATGGTACATTCAGGAATTACATATTTTTAATCATCACTGGATTTTTCCTTAATGCTAGAAATTGCTGCAACATTTCTAAAGTGTTTCATTGGCTTTAAGCTAAAAAGGGATTTCTCCTTGTTATAAAAAGGCAAGACAAATTAGCCATTTTACCCTCAAACTTTGCTAATGATCATTCTTTCCACAAGGAACTCTAGAAGACCAAATGCCAAGTTAAGAACATCAAAATTAATCATTTAGACAAATTTCCCAAATAGGAGACTCTTCCATTAAAACATTATTGAGAAGGGATTTAAAAGTGGTCCTTCCATTTGGCCTGTTTCTTACTCCCAGACCAAGATGCTGACTGCAGTCTTGATAAATATTTTTTTTTCTGATATATAATTTAAAAGCACACTCCCCTCCACTTTGTAATACCAGAGTTCTACGTGGACATCCTGAAGCTTGAGACCATCAGCCACACAGATAGAAAACTCTCTGTCCATGATTCACTCACCTTTGTATTGTCTGTGGACATTTGCTAGGCTTTTGTTAGATAAAAATACTTCAACAGTAAATGGCATTCTCTTTCCCTTTCCCCAATTCTCCTCTCTCTCTCTCTCTCTCTCTCTCTCTCTCTCTCTCTCACACACACACACACACACACACACACACACACACACACACACACACACACACACACACACACACACACACACACACACACACCAGAGCCATTACCTAATTTGGTGGGAAAGACTATTCGATTCTTCATGTTTGAATCTAGCTCACAGAACTAGTCAGAGAATAACATTATTATGGGAGGACACAGAAAACACACAGACTCTGAACCACTCCTAGCTCTGCCCCCACTAACATGTGACTGAACTTTTCAGTTTGATCATCTATTCAAGGAAAACAGTAATGACTACCAGCTACGGATCTCTCAGGATAGACTTACCAAGCAAGACAGCCCACTGTTTGAGAGCACAGGGTTTAGCCTCAGGCTGAATTATGACTCACATACTGGCCCTGTCATTTTACTAGCTGTGTGATCTTAGTATAAACGTAAAGTGCTTACCAGAGTGTCTGATGCATAATAAATGTTATTAATAATTAGCCCCTGTCATTTTTCCTTTGAAAATTGTAAAGCGCTCCACCAATATTCACTTTTACTATCTAAAGATGCACATAAAATAAGACATCCAATAATAGAACACTCATCAAATGCCTTCTCAGTGTCCAGTATCAGATCCTTCTTTATCGTCAAGGCCAGATGCCCTCCCCTGATAGGATGCCCACATCTGTCACATGTTTACGCAGGGAGAAGACCAGCCATAATTCCTTTCAGGCTTTGAAGACTCAGCCAGCTGCATCAATTAATAACCTCACTAAAGGTTATCTATCAGAAAGAAAGGGGGAAACGTCATAATTACTTCAGTCAGAGACGTCATTGGTTACGTACGTGGCGCCTATAAAGCCCACATGGCATTTATGGACATGGCACACAGCATGGGAAAATGTTACCAAAGGAGACAAATATTTAACCTAAATATTAAATAGCTCCCTACAATCTACTAATCCTTTCAAAGCTAATCTATCTTCAGAGAAACCTTCTTTCTGATTCTCTACAGTTCTGACACTTTATTTGCTCAAGCTATAAAATTTTTATTTGGATTCCTTGGCCATTTCAATAAATCGAAGTTGCCTTTTCTCCCCCTTCTGTTAAATAGTAAAACCATGTAGAATAGTTCCTAGACCAAGTGATTTAACCTCATTCCTACTTGTCAGAAGCAAGCATCATTGATTTTTTTTTAATTTTTAACCCTCTGATTGAAAGTCTAGGGCCTTCTTTCTAAAGGAGAACACTACCATTGGAATCTTGGGTTTCATTATTAGCAAGTTTCTATTTAATGCTGGAGAAATCTCTGAAAGAGAAAACCATATTATTTTCTTTTCAGGAATTTAATACAATTGCTACATACTCCTAAGAGTGTGACCCAGTTCAATTTCTCATGTTTATAAACACTGGCAGACAGCAATATGTGAATAAAATGCATGACAGCATTTTCAAAAATAACACCTAGGATTTGTTATAAAAATGTACTGTGCCGTGCTTGGACAGACATAAATAAAAACTGCATGGTGTGGCTTTATCCCTTCTGAATACTACATCCAGATCAACATTTGAAAATACTGTATCTCATTTTAAAAGATTTTTCTGTAACCTACAAAATGCATAAAAATGGCTGGAGAATTTTTACAGAAAATATCTGGTTTAAATAATTTATCATGAAAATAAATTACGTAGAAGCACCAAGACTAAATTAACAAAATCTTTCATATGTAATGAGAATCCGATCTTCCCTCTAAGGACACATCCAATTCTTTCTCTGTTTTAATAAACATAGTTTTAGCGGGAATAGGTAGTAAAAGCATTTTAATGTAGTAATGATATTAGCAAAACAAGGATTTATTTAAGAGTTTTTACTTGGGTCATTACAAGTATTATAGAATTACAAGATAAAGGGGTGTGAACTTCTGGAGATTACTAAGAAGTTGGTATAGAAATTCCTCATGCATAGAGAATAAAGATAAAACTTATTGCTCTAAGCCAGAAATTGTATAATTTGGATTAACTTTTACATCTAAATGAGCATTTTAAATCTCAGAAATAGAAAATGATCATGGAGCCTTCACTTGGGACTTACCACAGTCAGACGACCATCTTCGAAGTTTTATTTGATGCTAATAATATCACCCAAAGTATAATTATCTTGTCATCATTTTTCTAGCAGCTCGACTAAAAATGTCCAAAATGAAAGTATACTTAGCTTAAGGCTAGATCTGTTGTGAATTGAAATATTTTTCCCAATTCCAGTATTTATATAGTTAAAAATAATAGCATGTAGCAAAGGCCCTTATTTTAT